TGGGTAGAGAATACTAAGGCTATTCAATCAGTGGTTATATGGAAGGAACATTGTATTCAATGTGGATGCTGTTTTGCCTTATGAATGCTTGTCTTCTGAACCTGAAAATGCTTGTGTTTAAATGACCCCTTTAAGCACAAAATAGGCCCCTAGTTTTGTGTGTTTCTTTATCTCTTGATAAAGGAGCATACTACCATTCCTTTTGCAAAAATAGTAAGAAATAAAATCATTTGGTCTGTAGGTCACTTGGATGCCTTCCCTCTGCCTCTGTGCCCTATCAGTTCTCACCTCCTGGTTTCCAGGAGAGTTAAAACTTTGGGACTTTTTGGAAGACAATATGGCATGAGCATGTTTTAGAGGCTGGTGCTCCTTCACCCCTCTTCCCTCCCTAGCATATGTGTTACAGCTTCTACCTTCTGGAGCCTGGCTCTAGCCAGGAGAAGATTAAGACTCTTTACTTCCAAAAAGGCCTTTTTGCCAAACTGTAGAGTTTGTGACTGAGGCGAGAACAGGGCCAGAGGAAGGTTCTGATGCCATCATCGAAGGAGGAGGATGAGGGAGCCTAGTTAGTACCAACCTCTGGGCTGAGATGCCCAAGCTTAACTTGCATTTGGAAGAATCCTAACAAATGGGAGAGATTGATGGAAGAAAGAGTAACTTTGAGGACATTTTATAATCTGAGTAAAGGCAAAACTCCATTTATGAGATCCATTGACTATGTTGTGGCCAAGTGTAACAGAAATACACCGTCTGGCTTCCTTTCGTTGCTATCACCTTCAAGTATAATTAGGTGTAATAAAAAGAGCCTTAATAAGTTCTTAGATTTATCTTTTTAAACTTCCGCAAGTTTCTATCCTTACAACTCTTCCTATCAAGTTCTAGCATTTAAGATTTAAAAAACTAAAACCTCTTCAGTTTAATATTTTTATGTTTCACTAAATAGACAGTATGTATATTCGTAGCTTAAAAACATTTTTACTATGTGCTGGTTTTGTTTTAAAAACACACACACACACACACACACACACACACACACACACACACCCATAATCAACTCAGGTTTGAACTATGTAAATCTAACTTATATGTGGATTTTTTAAAGTAAATATAGTGTAGTACTGTAAGTGTACTTTCTCTTCTCTATGATTTTCTTACTAACATTTTCTTTAGTTTACTGTTATATACATATAACATATAAGGGACTGTTTATGTTATCAGTAAGACTTCTGGTCAGCAATTGGTTATTAATAGTTAAGTTTTTGTACTTAATATACAAAGTTATATTTGTGTGGGGGTTGGGACCCCTAGCCCCCTGCATTGTTCAAGGGTCAACTGTATATTACTTCAGTTATATTATGGTTCATGTAGCATTTTATAGAAGAGCTTGGTAATTTCTAATAGTGTATCCATGGGAAATATGTTCATCCTACAGATAAATTTTGAAACCCATCTGCCTATAAATTGAGACTACCTTTTATAATAAGATAGTGCCCCTAAGGTGATAAAATAAATAATTTTAAAATTATTTGTAGTGTTCTTTTATTCATGCTATGTTCTGTTCTAAACAATAATTAAAAGTTAGTTTAATTAAAAGCCAATATTTTTCATCCTAATTTGTAATTGTTTGGGGTACATTAAAGGTTCTTTATTTGGCAGTGCCTGGGTGGCTCAGTCAGTTAAGTGTCCGACTTCAGCTCAGGCCTTCATCTCACGGTTCGTGAATTCTATCCCCTTGTTGAGCTCTGCTGACATCTCAGAGTTTGGAGCCTGCTTTGGATTCTTTGTTTCTTCTCTTCGCTCCTCCCCAACTCATGTGCTTGCTCTCTCTCTCTCTGTCTCTCTCTCAAAAAGACATAAATATTAAAAAAAAATTTTTTTAAAGGTTCTTAATTTGGATAAGCTATGTATAAATAGTGAATATTCCCCAACAGTGCAGTAAGTGGCTTCAGAATGTCTCATCATACCCTATTCTCTATAGTTTTTTTAGCTTTCAGATATTTTTTGGTGTTAAAATATTAAGCCCTCAGAAAGTACTGCCATTTAAATCACCAAGACCAACTGTCCTATTAAATATCTTTAACATTCTTATTGTAAATATTCATGTTAAATGAAGTCAGGTTTCTTAACTCAGAAAGTGAAGTCTTTTTTGAGTTTTATTAAAAGGCACAGTCACTTTTTACAATGTTTCTGAAAGTCAGTACTTTATTTCCTTTTATTTCTTTCCTCATCCCTGTGTAGCATACTTGTTTATTTACCTACTTATTTATTTTATTGAGGTACTATTCACATAACATAAAATTAACCATTTTAAAGTGAAAAATTCAGTGGTATTTAGTACATCTACAACCACTGCTTCTATCTAGTTCTGAGACCTTTTCATCATCCCCAAATAAACTCTATATTCATTAAGTAGTTACTCCCGATTTCTTTCTGCCCTCAGCCTCAGGGTACCATTTAAAAATTTGATACTGACAAATTTAAAAATTAATAAAACTTTTTGAGATAATTGAGATTATAAGGCGGCATGTAGAATACACTGTTCTAAATTCAGTAGCATGCAGAAATGCATTTAAGATGCTGACAGTGAAGAAATTAGATTATAAAATTGTATGTGCTGTGTGTATATCTCCAACTATAAGGAGGAAAAAGGAACACTTTGTAGAAAACACACCAAAGTAATACTGATTTTACTCTAGATTTTCTTTTTTCTCATTTAAAGGAGAAAAAATTTTTTCCATGATTAAAATGAAAACAAATTCCAGATAGTTAAAAACTTGATCCTAAACTTACTATTGTAACATAATTATTTATTTCAGATTAATATTAAACTTCAACAGCTTTTTCCCCCCCGATTGAGTTAAGGGGGTTTCTTAGTATTTAACAAGAGAAAAAGAGATTTGCTGGAGGAACAAAACTGGTATTTGTGGTTTTTCAGTTCTCCGAATTATATCTCAAACCGTGAATACCTGTTTTGAGTAAACTGTGTTCTAATTTATTTTCCTTCAAAAAATACATACTTTAGAACTTTCTTTTCAAACTATAAAAACATCATATTCTTGTTGATATAAATAAAATACTATGGGGGGTTACAAATAAAAAGCTAACAGTCTCCTCTCAAATATAGTCTTTTTATGTACCTGCCTATAATAATTGCTGTTAGCATTTTGGCTGGTATTCTTCTTGGCCTTTTGGTCTTGTGGTTTACATGCCACATATAATAAAATTGGACCCAATTGAGTAAAAAACTCGAATGCCTTCAGGATGGCCCTGGCAGTTACTTTAAAGGTGGGAATGCATTAAGGAAAGGTAGGAACCTTGCCTGCTGGAAGGGAGTATTACCACACAAAGCTTTTATATTAAAAAATAGTTAGAGCCCTGTGCTGGCCAGACAAGCAGAATCCCTTGGGCAGTGCATCATTGTGCTTTTCTTCCTTGCCCACCTCTTCCCTCCCATACAAATATAGAATGAATGTTTGTCAGAAATATATTAACTCATTAATGAGGGAAAAAACATGATGATAAAGCTGATTCTAAGAGCATTTGAGGAATTGAGTGCATGTAGATATTGAAGAAAGTACATTGAAATAAATTGCTGAACTTGAAGAGCATTTGAGGAATTGAGTGCATGTAGATATTGAAGAAAGTACATTGAAATAAATTGCTGAACTTGATATAAAATTGGTTAATGTCCTATAGGGTAGTAAAACCATTACTTTTGGAGTATGCCGGACAGATAAGTCTCAACTAAAAATCTACCTGTTTACTTCTAACTCCATAGAATTTGGGTCCTAATCAACAGTAGAAAGCAGGTCAAACAGTAGTACTATAATTAAATATCTTTGGGAGGACCTATTAAACAATGCTTCATTACATATTGAAGGGGCTGACAGTTATTGATTAACCTTATTTCCAGTTTTAGTTAATTTTTCTTAACAGCAAGAAAGGCCTGTTGTGATGTATAAGGCAAGAGTAGTACAGTAGGGACCAGAACTTGGAAGAGCCTGGTGTCTTAAACTAGGAAATTTGAACTTTCAACAGATGTTTGAGTATATACTATGTGCCAGGCAGTGGATTTATTACACTCTTGAATTGTGCCGTGGTGCCCCTCCCATACCCCTAGGAGATGGATTTACGGTTCTGAAGGGATTGTATTAGGGGAGTCAGCTGAGAAGCTACTTGTCTCCAAATACACATGTTCTTTGTCCTCTGTCCCCACCCCAATGTAGATATCTTTGCCTGAGTAGAACATAAGAGTTTTGAAATAGCTTTCCAGGTGATTTTTGTGTCCCTTCCTTTTTGAAAATTATTGTTAATGTTTTTTGGGCTCTTTAAAAAAAATGAGTAAAGAGTAGGCAAAATTGTAAGCAGTATTTTAAAAGTTTGCGTGCTTTTCTTCCCTGCCCCATCCCTATAATACTTAAACTAAATTAAATAACTAATGTCCTGATTATACCCTCAGGAAGAATTACATGTAGTTGTCCTTTTTAGAAATATTTTTCATGTAACCAAGACATTCATGTGGGGCAAGCTGGGTTTAGTCTTCCTAATTGTATCTTTAGTCTATGCTTCTCACTAAGTAAACTGAAAGAATTGTCATTTATAGTAGTATATAATATGCCTGGCAAAGACATGTAATTAAAAAATTAGACTTAAAAATGTTTTTAAGAGAAAATAGACTGTCATTAGCTTGTTGGAGACTGGTAAAAATGAATAAATAATAGAGGAAAAATGTATATGTTCTTAACTTGTAATTGAACTATTTGAGCCAACATTAAAATGAGCAGCTGCTGTGGACATCCATTTCAGTTCTTTTCAGTGTAACTCTAATTAGGCAGCCATCCTGTGTAAATGCACTCACAAAGCAAGGATTTAGGATTTCAGTGCACCTAAGCAGCCATGGAATTTATAACTTAATCACAGGATACGATATTACAGATTAGGGGAGAAACTGGGAAATAACATGATACAATTGGTATATTGTGTATTTTTCTTTTTTTTAGTGTGCCGGTCCAACAAAAGCCCCTGGGTCTGTTTGACTTGTTCAAGTGTCCACTGTGGAAGGTAGGTGACATACTTATTACTTCACTACCCTACTTGCTTTTTTAAATTTGCCTTTAAGCTTTATGTCAAAGTTTTATTGATTTGAATTATTAGCACCACTGCTTAGTCATAGTTTGTAATTTCTCTGTATGGCTTCCCTCTCCTAATACAGTCTAGAGGTGGGGAAAACCTTTGTATTGATACTCAGAAGAATTAATTTGATGATCAGAATATCTAGTAATATTTGATTAAAAAGATGAAATGAGGGAACTTCGAAATCTTTAAATAAAAGTTTACCCTATGGTTGTTTCTTAAACCTATTTTTAATAGGGTAAATTTAAGCATTCACAAAAGTGGAGAGAGAATATAATTGAACCCCATTAGTTTGATCACCAAGTTTCAACAGTTAGCTATACCATGCCCAGTTTTACTAACTTTTGAATCAAATTTCAGATATCATATCATTCTTCTGAAAACAAAATAATAAAATGTTGACAGATAAAGAGTTCCCTTTATTACAGATAAAGGAATTCCCTTGAAAATGGTCTCATTGTGGAGTTCATTATTAATTGCTGTCTAAGATGTACCAAATGTTTCATTGTTCCATTAAGACATTTTTTTGTTTTACAAGACTTAAACACCGCCCCCCCCCCCACCCCCCCGCGTTCTGGTTCAAGCCTGAGCATTTCCTCCCCATTCTTGGCTTCAAAATGATGTTACTTAAATACTTTAGTAACTCTTTTCTTCAAACTCAAACTCAAGTAAATACCAGCCTTTGCATTCTTTTAGCTTGGCAGTAGCACATTTATTCCTAATGCTCTTTTAACTTAGAAAATCCACTTTGAGTTTACTTAGTATGGGAAATCATACTGTCACACAGGTGGAAATCTACAATGTATTTATTAGGACTATTTCCCCATTGTTATTTTTAAACCCTGATTGCATGAAGAAAGCATCTATGTTCAGTTAATTTTTGATTTTTTACATTTTGAGTCATGGAATTGAGTATTTTTTCCATGTACACTTAAAAGTGCGTTTGGAAAATGTTAACTGCATATCTTAATTGTGGCTGTTGTGGTTTTGAAATCTCTAGGATTTGGGGAACCTGAAAATACTTTGTACAGATAACATTTTTTTTTTAAAAAAAGAAGAAAAGTAGAAGCACTTAAATTCTGCACTTGAAGAGACAGATTCCTCTCCTAGAGTTTGAGAGGTGAGAATTATAATGCAATAAAATTTATGTAGTTCTGTTCTCCAGTTGTCTCATAGTGCTCTACGACCTAAATCTTGAAGGTCATATGCCTGCAAAAAGACCTGACAAACTTGCAAAAATTGGAGAGATTAATGTTCTTGATAGCAAGCAACAAACAATTCTCTTAAGGAGGTTTTGGAAAAACAAATTGAAAAATTTCTAGACTCTGCAGGTAGTCTGTTTCTAATTGCAAGCAGTCTTAAATTTAGAAATTTTACATAGTTTCAGAGAAATCTGATTAAATAGATTAAACAGATAATGAGAGTAGCTTGCATTTGGATGTTCATTTTACATAGCTGAGTGGTTAATTTTCTTTTATCATGTAATCCTGGGTGTTGATTGCCAAGAGTTCTGATTTTCAGTAATTTTAGGCCAGTTGTCTGCAGAAAGCCTTAAATTGAATATTCGTTCAACTAAAAAACAGTTTATCAGTAGCATATTTGAGTTACATATTTTGTTGGCCTTCATGACATCATTCTATTTATTTTTCAAAATTTTGTGATTGTTATAAATCTGTGATGCTTTTCCTTTTTAGACCAAATTGTGCAGTTAAGATCTAATCTAATTGGGAGAAATATTTATTTTTATGTTTTTCAGCTTATACATAACTGTTAACTTCTGAGTGCTATATTTAAATATTAGCCAAAACATTGCTTATCTTCATGTTAGCAGTAATACACTTCCTCCTTTTCAGTGATATTTACAGTAACTGTTAAAACATTTAGTACATTGCAAGACTACAGTGTGGGGCTACATGAACAGTACGTAGTAGGTACAGATGATCAGTTTTCAAAGATCTAAAGTACTGGCTTATTACTTTCCTCTTTCAGCATTGTCTTTTCTTTGATTCTGAAGGTGCTCATTATAAATAGTACTTTTGTTTCTCATAGGACAGTATAAATTATATATGCATAGGAAACTGAGCTAATTAGATATTGAACCTATATGACGCCTTGGAATTTACCTAAGTATTGGGTGTTTCTTGATCTATGCAATGTATATGCTTAATATGACCACTCTATAAGCACAGAGGTTAAGTAACTCATCTAAGCTCATGATAGCTAGCATGTGACAAAGTTACTTTTGAAGCAGGCGGTCTAGTTTTTGAGCTTATTCTCTTAATCATTATTTTATTTTAAAATTGCTTTTAGTTTACTTTTGTGGACAGAGGACTCATATACACACAAGTTTTGGTTATGTTTACTATAATGAAAAAAATAGGAAAAAAACCATGAAGTTGAGGTTAGTAGTGCCTCTGATGCTTCCAGCTTGCCTAGGGTAGAGGCTGGGCCTGTAGTGCATCCTCCCTATTTACCCCAACTGTCCTATTTTCCCCAAGGTGAGTGTTGCTCCTGGTATAAGTGAGATGCCTCATGACAAAGTGTTACTTTAACTGTCTGAGTATGTTTATTTTGGTACCATTTAATTAACATTTGTTCTGACTGAGTTTTCCCTTGCCTTCTATAAATTGACTACTTTCTAGGGACGGGGAAGTTTTGTTTAATAATGGTCTTCACAGGACTGGTCAGTTACAACATTGTACATTATTTAGGTGGAGATTTAGAGAATTTGGGTGTAGACTCTATGCATTATTTCAGTTTCATTCTGCCTTCTGTAATATATAGTAATTTATTATAGCTGAGTTGTAAAGTATTAGAAAATTTTTATGAATATGTTGACCTTTGATTATCTTTGTCCATGTAAAGAAATAATAATTTATGTAACCTTAAGATGATTTGTACTTTGTATTGTTTCCAAACAAACTGTTTCCATATGAGTGGAACTAATTATTTAGGCATTCGAATACAAGATCTGAAGCCATATTGATAAGAAAGAGGTAGAAGATAATCCTGTTTCCATATCTGACTTTCACATTTTATATTAAGCAGCAGTCCAGGCACAGACTATGGTCCTGTGGGAAGTGGTAGACTAATTTAGTTTACAGAGCTTACCTTTGAGAACAACCTGAGAAAAGCTTAAAAAAAAAAAAAAAAAAGAAAAAAGCTATAGCAAAAGCATTAGCAAAGGGGCTGCTAAGTGATAATATCAATGGTATTGAAACTTATTTGCATAGATGATGCTTTTCCTTGCCTCACCCTAATCTTATGTATAATTAAAAGTGGACTGTCATGTTTGACAGTAAAAAAAAAAAAGGAACATATTTTAAGCACTCAGCTGAATAAATCACTAATTGAATGTTTTTATAGGACTGACTACTCTTATAAGGAGGAATTCTTTCTCATTCTAATTTGATTATCATCTAATTTTATTGTCATCTGCTACTATTTTAACTTGCAAAGCAGTATTTAGATTAAAATGAATTTTTATTTGGTTTTTGTAAGGTATGTGAATGGCCATGCAAAAAAACATTATGAAGATGCACAAGTACCCTTAGCTAATCATAAGAAATCAGAAAAGCAAGATAAACCTCAGCACACAGTGTGTATGGATTGCAGTAGCTACAGCACATACTGGTAAGTATTAGTATTTTCTAGAAATGATATTCCTTACTTAGTGTGCAAATGTTGTCTCATTTTCCTTGTTCTCTCCTCTCCCCTGTCAATCTTTAAACTAGTGCTGCTGCTATTACTTCCATTTCATTCTGTTAGGATTCATAGGAGATTGGAGCTATCAGGAATGCCTGTCCTGATTCATTCAGATTTTACTCTGCATTGTTCCCTTCAACTTCTGGGCTGCCTTCTCTTTCCCACCCTCTGTTCCTTGTTCATCCCAGTAAGCTGCAGGGCAGTGAAAAGTATTTCTTTGTGGTTGTATTTATAATTCCTTTCCTTATTTTGTTTTTAATTGAAAAATATTGTGATACAAACTTCTGTTAAAAACAACCCCAAAAACCCAAACCCCAAGCGCATGCTCTTACTCTCTGGGTAACATTTTGTTACGTAATCTTAAGAATGTAACTTTGTTTAAAAAACTATTTTGACAATCTCTCTTCTTCCAGCACAGATCAGTTCTCTTCTCTCTGTTGATAAATGTTAAGAATTTCATGTGTAGTCTTTCAGGCTGGTTTTTCTTTTTTTAAAGTATCACATCCTTTAAAAGATTAGAGGTCCTGTTCTCTCATTGTAATATAATATACATATCTGTTTCATATAAATGACAGTGAAATAAGTATTGATTTTGTGACTACTTAGAACTAGGTTGTTTACAGTAATGGTTAACAATTCATATCCATTTGTTATACTTAGAAGGTCAGTGTCTTTTGGGGTTTTAACTTCAGTGTGAAGCAAATTTTTTCCTCTGCCTAGTAAATTATGATGAATAATTCTTTACTTGATTTAATGAGCTTATTCTCAATTCAAAAGGTTTTTGACATTGAAAGGAAAAGAAAGCCATTTGAAAGATCCCTTTGGAAATTTTTTTGGCCATACAACCCTTGAATGTCACATGAAAGCAGTACTGGGCATGGATGGGGTTTTAAAGTCTAAATAATCACTTTTGATTCATACTCTACTGAAGTTCTGTGCCAATCTTTTCTATATCATCCTTAGTTGATTATTGTAGTGTAGAAAAATGTCCATTGAAAGGAGGAAAGAATGGCTTCGGATCTTTAAAATTTTTATAGGTTGAACATTATTAAATTGTGGCTATTGAATAATATATCCTAAGAGTTAGTCATTCAGACCACTACTGTTTCAGTGGAAGATGTCCAGACCTGGAAGAGAGAGAAGCTGGAGGTAGATAAAAATTAAAAATTTCAATAAAAATGAAATCTTGCTGAGATTTTCACACATGGGCTAGTGCTCAGTTCATTGTTATTTGCTCTTGTAAAACACTCCTTCCTATTAAAGTTAAGCATTAGCCAGGCTGTTAAAAGTGTTCTCATTAGTTTTTCCTCCTTTCTTTCAGAAAACTTAACATGCTAGAATGAGGTAGCAACCTAATTGACAGAACCATGTTTCTTGAAGACCATTTCTTTTAAGCAGAAATTAAGATGTCATAATCATTGTTGTTAAGTCAGGTCAACCTATATATACCAGATGTTGAAAACATAAGTTCTTCTTTTCATTTAGCAATGTGCATGAAATGCTAAATGGGGAAGTTTGAAAATACAATTAAATCTCTGTGTGCTATGTAACAAGTTTGCAGTGGTGTTTCTTGCATCTGGTAAGATTTTGAGGAAACAGTAACTTTTTGAAGAAATTTAAAAAATTATCTTAATGGAGTGGAATTATATTCTTAGGTCTCTTTAAAAATATGTTGCATACATCATTGTCTTTAAAAATATATTTGAGACTATACATTTTGAAGGAATACCTTTAATAACTAGAATTGCAATTTGATTTGTTTTATGTAGATACGATATGCTAAAGTGCATGTGGTTTCATGGCTGATTGTAATTAAATGGCAGATCTTGAACCTTGTTGAATGTACACCATGGCACAGCCTTCTTGGTCAATTGCAGGTCTTCTGTGTGAAGTGATACAGAGCTGCAAGTGTATGGACACTCAGAGCTTCTGAAGTGCAGGAAGGGAACTGCAGCTGGTCACATTACTGTATCATTTCAGGGTTTAAAAACAAAATACTAGGCAGGGACTCACCCTGTAGCAGCATTACACTGATGCCTTAAAAGAAACCTGTGATAGTTGCAAACTGAGAAGGCTGTACTCTAACATTTTCCTCACACCTCAGTATATGATTAAGAAAGAAATGAAAAGGATTTCTTCCTTCTGAATGAATGTGTGTGTTATTTTCTAATACACTTCAGTAATTTCAGTTTAAAATTTTTCTTTGTAAGTTTCTTGTGGTTAGACTCGATTTACTTCAGTGGTAAAATATTGGTGCATTAGTTTTAACTTTTTTGATTATTGTTATGCTTGTGGTCAAAATCTTTTGACCTGAGTTAACGTTAGAGCTCCTTTTCCATGTGTTCTGTACTCTAAAGTTGCAACGTGCTCTTGCGTTGTTCTATCCTTAGTTCCCTTTTCCAAGAGTCCCTGCCCTATCCTATCTTTGCATATCCTTTGTGAAGTTCCCACTGAACTCCTCACTCCCTCCTCCCAGCTTCAATTGTAGCTAGATGTAATCTCTCCTAAACTCATAGTGCTTGGGATACTTGTAATTTCCTGCTGTGCATTAGGTTATTTGTAAATGTCCTTGGTGACTACAAGAACCATATGTCATATAATCTCTTCCATGTTACTCAGTGTCTGGTGCAGAGAGGGCAATATATGTTTAAAGGATTGTATTTTGTTACATATCTTCCAAAAATGGGAAGGTTACATTAAATCTATAATATTGTGTCTTCTGGTCATTTTGGAGGACTGAATAGCCATGAAACATTTTTCTTCAAGAAGACCTAAATTGTGGCAAGTGTGAGCTATTTCATTTACTTCCCAAGAGGGACACCCCACTACAGCTCCCTTCACTTCTTACATAAACAGGACATCCGGAAGAAGCTCATATCAACCAAAGAGAACAATGTAAAATGGGTCACTGTTTCCAAAGAAGGAAAGCAACACCAAAAGGAGTAATTTTGATTTGACACAGACCTACTCATTTAGGAGATCAGTCAGCTAATCTGAGCTTTGAAGTTAAGTGAAAATTTCTAGACAAATTAAAATCTCCCCGAGATGTTCACACAAGGACTAGTGTTCACTTTTATTATTTGTTAAGTAATAATAGTTTTTCCTCCCACCCCATATATTTTCTCTCCAGTCAGTAAAAATGGAATTGTATGTGGTATACATTCTTGTATCACAAAGAAACTAAAATTAAAATTAGGAACTTCTGATTTCTTATGTAGATAGACATTTGGAGTTAATAGTTTTAAATGCTGAACAAATAGCTTTTGACATCTGACATAGTCTTGTCAACTCTGATCCTTATCGACAGTAACTGAATTTCTGAGAATACAAAATGTGAAAGGAATATTAAAACTAAATTACTAAAATTTTTCTTTTATGGCAGGGTAATGTTGTAATGCACTCTTTCACACAAAGAAATATTATGAAATGTTAATTCATTTGTTTAGAAAAAAGACTTGTATTTCAGATTTTAGACAGCTGTAACAAATAGCAGTTTTAACTAGAACTAGTAAAAATAAAGCTCTTATTTGTGGACTTAAACCGATACCGAATTGTTCTCAAAGAGAATTGTGATTGACTATTAAAAAGGGGAAAATCTTTTGAGTATCTTTATAAATAATTGTAGTACAGATTTTCAGTGATGTAAAGATTAGAGAACAGGAACAGTTTTGTTTATTTAAAAACAGTATTTTGAAGTTTAAAAAGAACGTTTTTAATAGAGGTTTTCTGACAACTTTAATAAAAGGCTCTTCCCTAATAAGCTAGTACTTTTCTGCTTTTTACAAAGGATATAGGTTTTCTCTGCAGGTATTCTAATTTTCCAAAATTGGCCTATTCTATGGCAATACATTAGAATTCAATAAAAGAGAATTTAAAAATAAACTTGCTATGTAAATGAGTTCTTTTGAGTTTTAACTTTTCTTGGTTTGAAAAGATGAAGTCACTAGATTACATGCTTTTTTTTTTCTGTATCCTTATCTATCATTTATAATAAAGCCAGAGATCAAATTTGCCTCCAAATATCACAACACTATACAAGGGAATGAAAAGGAATTTAAAACTTACTGATTGAGCCACCATTGCCCTTTTTGAGGGGTACTTTTTCCATAAAAGTTTTGAGGGGATTTTTAGTATTAGTATTATACACAACTTACTGTTGAAGGATCACTTTGTAGGGGCACCTGCGTGGCTCAGACAGTTAACCATCCAACGCTTGATTTCAGCTCAGGTCATGATCTCACTATTCATGAGTTTGAGCTCCACATCACACTCTGCGCCGATGGTTGCCTGCTTAAGATTCTTTCTGCCTCTCTCTCTGGCCCTCCCCTGCTTGTATGTGTGCGTTTGCTCTCTCTCTCTCTCTCTCTCTCTCTCTGTCTCAAAATAAATAGCATTAAAAAAAAAAAAAAGATTCCTTTGTAGCTGTAGATTAAAAGATTATTTTTTTACTGTTGCAAAAAACTCAGGTTCATTTGTATGATGGTTGCTTCTTCTTTCCGATAGGTGGAGAGTGGTTTGGCTTGGGGATATTTTCTTAGTTCTTTAAGAAGATGATATGGATCTTTGTAACTTTAATAGCACGTAATAATAGGAATGGAAAAACAACCTTAGAGTTTTAAAGCCAAGAAAGAGATATTTTTCTCTGTTTTGGATGTGATATCTGTGCCATAAAATATGGTAGCATTTGAGCAATTAAAAGTGGCTAACTTGGGTAGCTTTGTCGCTTAAGCGTCCGACTTCAGCTCAGGTCATGATCTCACAGCTCATGAGTTTGAGCCCCGCTTCAGGCTCTGTGCTGACAGCTCATAGCCTGGAGCCTGCTTCTAATTCTGTGTTTCCCTTCTCTCTGCCCCTCCCCCACCCATGCTCTGTCTGTCTCTCTCTCAAGAATAAATAAACATTTAAAAAAAAAAGTGGGTAGTACAGGG